TTTTCAATAACAGACGGCTGTGTTTTGTATAGGAAACCAGAATAACACAATTTCAACTTGACATCAATGAGATTTGAGTAGCCACACATAAAAAGAATTAGTGAATAAGTGAAGCAGATGAGAACATGAATGAGTTTTATATATACTCCACGTTGTACCCTGTCTGTAGTAAAGTTTTATGAATGGTGGTGAAACTCTATTCATTGATAAGAAAAAAAAAATATCTAAAGACTACTCACTATTATATTAGTATTTTATTATGTCACCTAATTTGTATTCTGTACTAAGATATGACGCATGAGTTGAAAAACTGATAAAAAAAAAATCATTAATTCCTAATATTCCAATACCATCTGGATACTAATGTTTAAGATATCCAAGTCAGTTTTAAATATTTTTTGTTCAGGGAGGTCACTTTATCAAAAATGAACAAAGTCAAAGAAAGTATGATTAAAGGAATGTTTGCCTAGTCATTCAAAAGGGATGATAAACTAAGGTTCAGGATTGTAAATTGTTTAAGTGGCATTTAGTAACTGGATGAGAATAACACATGACACTTATTTTTAAACCAGTTCATAATCGCTGGGGTTTTTAAGACAGCATCGTGTTGCATTCACACGTACTATAAGCCAAACCAGTTTAACTATTCTGACCTCTTCGGTCGGAGGTTAGAGTTAACTGCGCATGGGTAGCTTCACATTCTTTATTCGGTTCTCGCACGCTTTCGATAACATTGGCACTGTCTAACCCCAATATTTTCACAGGAATGTAACTAACTGCGTACTGCGCATGCTCGAAGCAAGCTGGAGCTGGGGTTTTTAAGCCAACCCGTTCAGACGACTAAGATGAACCAGTTTAAAATAAAAAGCCTTCTCGAAGAAAGGTCGCGAGCAGGGTTTTTTAAACTGGTTTAACGATCCCCGGGGTTTTTAAACCAGTTCAACTTAAGCGTCTGAACGGGCTATAAGTTACTTGAAGGATTTATTTCTACTGCCTTTACGATGAGGGTTCTCCCGTCTTTATCACATTGACATGCAGATAAAAGACCCCTTGACAGTTGGAAATAAAAGATTAGGCAGAAAGCTGCTGTCTGGATGAAATTTTTAAAGCTAATGTTCTAATTTAATAGCTTCTTTCAATTTGAAGAATTTTCTTGAAAACTAAGTTGTAAACTACCTTCAAATTTATATTTCTTTACAATATTACATCAATATTTGTGTCAGATTTTGAAATATTGCAAAAAAAAAACAAAGTCAAGATTTGATTGAATGGCTTTAATCTGATTTATCAGGATTATGCAGGCAATAGAAGAAATGTGAAATCTTCAAAGTGTTTGACTGTTGGCCACACTTGTATATTAATAAACAAACAGACTTGATTTTTTTTTCCACAAGTCTACAATTACTGTTTCATGTTCATGTACCTTCAAGGGAAGAATATAAAGGACATTAGTCAGTGTGGACTTGTAGCTGTTTTTGTGCTTGAAGTTAACAAGATTGTTGAAATATAATATCAGTAAATCTTGAAAGTTAGAGGCTAATATTCATGTACTGTTAACTCCTATTTTAGGGAGGTTAGCAGACGACAAACAAAATATCATGTACATCGCCTTCAATAAAACGCACAAGGTAATGTTAGATAGTATTTCTATGTAATTGACCCGGTCTTTGAGACAGAATGATTGACATCCCGGGGTTTTAACCAGAGTTTTGGTTTATTTGATATGGTCATATTGTTCGCCTGAACAAAAGCTTACTAAAATAAAAGCTGTGTCAATCTTTTTGCACAGACTTGACAACCATATTTTTATCTGCAGATTTAGTTATCGAAAGGCAAAACCTGAAATCTGTACTGCAGTGAAGACCCTAGTAGGTTATCAAAGTTTATTTAGTTTTGAAAAGGATCAGTTATTCAATGCGATGTTTCCACTCTTACGTAAAGGATGTGCTTCTTTTCTTTGGGTTGTAATTTAAACGTGAGGAGGACGAAATATACATCAAAAGTGCAGCAGTGAATAAATAATTATAAATTTGACTAAACCTATCTTTTGTTATATACACCTTGGCAAGCAAACCTTTTGAAAAATTAACATTGTGTCCTGGCCTATATCTCTATTGACTAAGAAAATAAAGCATGTCTCTTTTGACATACCTAGGTTTTTTCTTGCCATTGAATTTGATATGCAGGATTTTTTTTTTTTTTTGAAGTTGCTTGTTAAAGAAATTCAATAGAAACTGTTGAATTGCTCGTTCAGTTTATTTGAATGTTTCCAAACAATTCTGTTAGTAGATTGACATAATAAATTACCAGTTTCGTTTAGATTAACTTAAACAAGTGTAAGACAAATATTGTATGATCAAACCTATGCTTTAGGAACAACAACTAATGATTACATACTTGGCTCGTTTATGCTTCTAAAAATATATAGAAAAAAATGGAGGTTGTTTTTGGAAAAATGAAGAAATGTGTGCTAAGGTTTGATTGTCTGCTTCTCACACTGAATGAGTTTAGTAAAAAAAAAACACCTTGTTTAAATCAATATAGATTGGTTTGTATTCCACATTCTAACATTCCACTATGAAATTCTCGACCTTACACAATCGCCGGAGATACAGTTGATGTTTTAAAGGTGAGAAATAACAACCAGTTTCCATCATTCTGGAAATAACGAAGATACGTAAACCCAGGTAAAATACAGATCTCTCAACTTTCTTTCAAACTTTTCTTCTTGTCTGTTCTATTATTACTTAAGCTGTACTTTGAAAAATTCTTTCTGTTTCAAGAATGTCCTCAACTACAGTTCAGTAATATGCTCCATGTGTCTTTTTCAAAAAGAATTGATATGCATATGCATAAGTTACTTCAAAGTATTTTAGGTAGCCCTAATTGGTTAACATTGTTTTCACTGTCTTGCCCAGAATGCTTTTGCTATTTAACCAGGAAAGTATATGTGTTCACATGGATTATATACAAAACCAGATTAACTATTCTCACATGTTATAGTTAATTATGCATGCATACCTCTTACTTAAAACTGCAAATTTCCTCAAAAGGTGATGAAATGTGCATGGCTCATTCTGGCTGAAGCCAACCAATTTTAAGCCAAATCAATCATATGGCTAGTAAAAGTCAGTTTAGGAAATAAACCTTTCTCAAAAACAGGTAGTGGCCAATTTGCTCCATTTTTACATTCAGTAGGCAAAGTTAAGCTAACTAGGGCTTTCAGACCATCTAAACTTGAGCATCTGAATAGTATATTAGACTATCATAGCTATTGACAAGAGATGGTCTTGGACATCACATGTAGAAGTCTTTTGGAATAATAAAAGAATACTAGTAGCCTGATTTGCTACAAGTTTGTCTTATGGGTTATGTTTGTGTGTGGTGCAGTCCTGCTGCACTTACTATTAAATCAGTACATTATATATTTGTATTCTATTTGCTGTTTAGATTGCGAATTTGTCTTATAAATTTAAACTGACAGTCAAATATTACTTGTTACTAATGTTACAATGAGTAATGACTTTTGTGAAAAATATTAGGTATACTGACTTTTTTAGAACAATAATTTTGGGAAGCAGATGATATGGCTAACAGTTTTTGATTATTCATAAAAAAATATAGCACATTGAAATCTTTTGAATGTTTCTCCAATCTGTTTTCAAGATGACACGGGTGAAGTTGTAATCATTTAATTCTTATACCTATTATTACTCAAGCTATACCTATTAATCTAATCATATGACCCAGTTGAATTATATATCAATTAATATCTATAAGATGGTGTATAGCGTGTTATTACTTTAATCTTACTGTCACTTCAAAGAGCCAATGATGCTTGGGTCAGTGTGAACAGTCCAAAATAGTGTCAGATTGTCTCACCTGGTCAGCTCAGATAACCACTGACCACAGGTAACTGACGTGTAATATCATTTATCATAATGTCTTGTATCTTTCGTGTTGGTCTACACCACTTTTGGTGTGAACTGAATAAGCTATCATGTTGGTTGACGTGTTGATTATGACAGCTGGGAAAACAAGTTGATATTTCCTCTTATTGTTGCCATGGGCCATGTTAAATCAGTCAAGACTAATGACCAGCCATCTTGTAAAATAATTATTAATAATAAGTACAGTGTATTAAAACATGTTAATAATGATTATACGTTAATCCATCTGACCAGGTGACAAATCAAATGATGTTCTGTTGGCAGAGGATATTTGGCTGAGATCAGTAGTCCTCTTCTGAGATTATTTTGAAAAATTGGGGTATCGATGGGGTTTTGTGTATGTTTCATAGAAACATAACATTAAGTGAATTGTTTTATACTGGTTTTTTGGGGTCCCACCTGGGGCCACCACTTTCTATTGGTGTACAACTATTCAGTGTTTTCAAAACACATTATTTTAAAAATATATATATATTTATGAATATTAATATTTATTATATTTCATGAAGGTGACAATCGTTAACAATCAGGTCTATCAACTGTAGAACTTGTTAGAATAGAATTATTACCTACTTCAAAATGTTAAAACTAAAAACTACCTTAAAGTCTCTGAGAGTTATTTAGGTGATATAGGAATCTCTTGCAAACTACAATATTGTAAAAGTTGAATCTCTCATAGGAATATCAGTCCAGAATAGTTAAATTCTCTTCAGTAATTACAAATATACGATGAACTGAAATTCCATAGATCTATGCTGCTTCTTATGTAAAAATTATACACCGCCATCTTTATGTTTTGTGAATTCTTATTGATAGACTTGTTTCAATCTGATTGAAAACAAGCCAGGACATTATCTAGCGTTGAGATTTTAATTTTCTTTTCTTAATTAAATGTTAAATAATCTTAGTACATGTTAGTGTGGATTAAGCTGTAAGAAATCTGATTTAATATTTTCCATATACAAATCATGCACAGTTACTTTAATAATATGTTATTTCATCATCATTTGACACAACATTTAGACAAAGTTGTATTTTGTATTTTTTCAGGTTACTTGATCATGATGAATTTGCAGGAAATAAAGTGTTGATTTGTACATCAGATGAAAAGATGTGACACAATTGTCATTCTAAATAACCAATCAACTTCCAGATGTATGCTTGATATTACAACGGCAGAAAGAAAAACCTCCTACACAGTTTATAAGATTTATGTTATATTATGATAAACCAAGATTTATAACAGATGACATGTCAATGTCATACTGTCATGTCAGTGACAAGTACACTTGTCAACATTATATGTAACACAGCAGATGTGAGAAATGTTCAAATGTTCACACCCATGTGGTGTGGGAGGTGTTGGGTAAAACTTTTGAGGGGGAGTTGGTAGATTAACAAATTTCTTTTGTTATTTTTTGTTTGATTGGCCTTGAACTATATCAATCAAAGTTTGAAAAATGAGTTACTATTGATTTGTGAGGTAAATAAAGGTGTGTTATAATATTTTGTTCTAGTACTCTATCTCTCAAATAGTAGTATTTGAATTTTATAAATAAACCTACTTAGGTCAAAGAAATCAAAGTACACTCTCTTTACTTGTATATTGTATTATAAGTTTAAACATAATTTGAACAGATTAAGATTTACCTGTGAATATTACTTGAAGCCTGCCTACTTAGATTGAACATCTATAATAAAAAAAGTCACAATATTGTTAAGGGCGTAGATTATCTTGTGAATACTACCAAAATTAGAGGTCCACTTAGATTTTAGAATAAAAAAGTTAAAATATTGAGGAGTCATCAGTTGCTGATCCGAGTAAAAGTTTTTTTAATTGCTGTCAATCTCAAATATATAACAATTACCGGAAGATAAGGTAATCTTTAGTTGACAATTATGACAAGGTGATTTTATTAGCTGTGTAATGAGATTTATGTGGGATGTAGAAAAATCTTGCCATTAAGACATTAAACATGGTATCTTTAGAAAAAATTGATTGTATGAATGTTAAGTTTAAATAAATTTCAAGTTTATATATTATATGTTTCACAAGAATTACTTTTAATTTATTTAGTTACATGCATAAAGTGTATGTTGCACAGCAATCTACTAATTACATACTTACAAGTATATATAAATATATATACATGTATATAGTATTTGAAACTGACCACAAATCTAAGTGTTAACATTAGGTCAGTATGTGTTAAACATAAGTTCAACAAACCAAATCCAAAATATTGACTTTGAAATTAAACAGGCAGTAAAATGACAAATAGGTCATGAGAAAAAGAAACAGCATTGACCCGCTAATACTTTCATTTATAAACAGACACTCGGTTGCCATGTTTAGTTTTAGATTATGACCATCTTCAGCACATCTCTTAACTCTTTCTTAAGGAATTTCCACTTATTCCACTAATTCAGCATATTTTACAGACATGGCGCTGATTGATAACTTAAAAAGAATATTTCTGCTATTCCGCATCAGTGACATATAGTTAAGCAAAATATTCTAATAATTTATTTTGATGATTCAAAAAAACAAGATAAAAAAAAATGTTGGAATTTTAAATTGTTTATATGATTATTCTTATCTTTCAAAATTAGATCTAGATAAAGTATTTATCTGGTAAAGAACATTATTTCTGATAAATATTATGGGACTAGATTATGGGGATGATGATGTTTTAATTTAGATCTTAAAATGACAGAGCTAAAAGAAAAATTTAATTATGTCAATTTATTATATTTGGAACCATTTGGTCTGTGAAGTGTATTCAAAGATATTTGAATTTAAAAAGGGGTCTTTATTAGATGTTTATAGTTTTACTGCTCAAATGTGCAATGTATTTTGAACCTATGAATAGAACAGTCTGTAGTGTTAAAATGTAACCAATTTTAGGTATTACTAATTCATTAATACTAGTATATATATCGCTTCATGCTAATAGAAAAAGACCAGGTTGTATATTTATATTCCTTTGATTAAATTAGCAATATCTGTATTTAGCTGTATCTTTAGCTCCAACAAGACTAGACAGAAGGTTATAGGCGAGGAATTTAAAGACGAAACTGGTTTTCATAGTGGTTTCATAGTTTCAAAAAGTCTGAGATCATTGTGAAAACTGATTTTGTTGACTTTAATCATCAGGAGACCATGCAGATTGGAAACCATATCACTTAGCAAGATTGGATACAAACCCTTGTGATAAAGCAAACCTCGCTAATCAGATAGAAACATGTATATATTATGTAAATTAAATTAATTAAAAAACAAATTTGATGGGTTTTTTTCAATTAAAATGACATAAATCGAGTTCGATGTCGCGTCAGCAAATATTTTTTGTGTATATTTTATATTATTTATACAAGAAGCACGAAATGGAATCTATGGATGTAGGAGGACAATTATTGTCAAAATAAGAAAACGCAGACATGCTCAACTAGAGCGTCGACGAACAGGAATACGTGCATTGTCATTGAACGTATATGTTTATAATGTATCACACACTAAACATGTAATAAGGATAAACACTCTGTGCCATTCCGTATATCAGATAAGAAACATCTTTGTTGACGCCAATATCATTAAATGGTAAAAATATACTTCCATGTACGTGCACAATCATCCTCATAAAATGAGCGTGTTGGTCCGTTTTATCCCAGGAGAATTGCTCCAGAAGATGGTGACTGGGCTATGTTTGAAATAAACGATCGAAAATTGGGCAAACATTTACATCATAGTCGCAATTCCCTTGATAACCAAATCTAGGAAGGATGATAACCAAATCTAGGAAGGGTGCTGAACTGTCAAAATATGATGGATGTGTTGATTAAAAATTATTAATGGGTTAACAAAAGGTCTATGTACATAACAATAAGTCAAACTTAGGTCAGTCTTCCAGCATCAAAACCGCTTGAAACTTGGTTTCTTCTGGAACAACTTCGACCTCTGATAAGCCAGTATACTGAGAAAATCAAAAAATGTTCTCTTTTTAATCGGGCATCTTTTAAATTTAGTGACTGTAGATAATAAGTACATATAATCTTTGTGCTTAAGTTCTCAGCTAAGCTGGCATTTGTTCCATTTGCAATGCGGATCCATGTGGGGCCCTAGGATCCCATGCCCCCACCCCCCCCTAAATAACAGAATAAAAGATGGGAATCCATTGTTATTTTGTTTCAATGAAACAATGACAATTTAATTCACTATACTAAAGTATATTGCAGATGATGTTATAAAATGTTATATTCTTGTCCAGATAAGCGCCACAAATCACCATTGACACTCCCATTTTTCAAAAACATTTCGGGAGTGATCTCCTGAACGCCGCCACCACCACCACCACCAAATATCCTGCGTCCGTCAATGTGACCCCTTGAATAAGAAACGCATATTGTCATCCCTCCTCCCCCGAGTCCGTACACGATATTTCTAGGGACAAACTGAATATTTAAGAAAAGTCCAAAACGTAATTTATTATTTAAGTAAACATTTGGTGCTGGTTGGAGTTAACAAGTGATTGGAGTATTTTGACCGACGTGAGGACGTAGCTGTGTCAATGCCGTGGTTTGATTCAGTGCCAGGTTTTTCTCGGCACCATATTTAGTTTTAAATGCAAGAAATAACCCGACCTTATCTATCACATTTTTAAAAGTATAATGATAGACATACTATAAACAGACCCAATAACAATAAGTTAAAAAGAAAAAATACATCTATTAACAAGAAATGCAACATCAAATCAATAAATAAGAAATTCAACACCTAATAAAGATTTATACTAATAATAAAACAGTTCGGATATACTGAAAAGCTCTGCAGCAGAATGTTTGGGTTAAAATATTGAATTATCTGCTGTTATAAATTAATAATTTGTTCAGGCTTAAAACCGGCACGTAACTTGTTCGGTTTCATTGGAGCATGCCAAACAGTTCCCAAACCTGGCACGATTCTATAATCGGTTGGGTATAGAGCATGTAAAACAGTAGACTACGAGTACAACGAAATATATAGCTTGTATATTCGGAATATGTCATAATATTTGTTAGGGTTAGAGGGTTAGGCCATTGTCTCTTCCCCCGTCATCAAGCGCATGGACGTGATCTGTCACGAAAATGGAAGCAAAGAATGACAAGTAAAGCACTTTTGCATGATTGATTCCATAATGGTTATATAAATGTAAAGGAACCCTGTTTATTGCAGGAATATCTTGAAATGTTTTGAGAATATAAAAACAAATAATCTTGGAGACTCGTGTATTACTCAAAACAATCAACATAATTTGATAAACGTGTTGGCCCATTGGCTGTAAATAGAAAAGTGGCAAGGACTAGTTTCGTTCCTTAGGGCTGAAAGAAAATTCCAAACGATTGTTTGAAATTTGATAGCAATATCAGTAAAGCATATCTGACAAATCGTGCACAAGCGCAACACGAATATGTTTACTTAGGTCCACCCTCTATCGCTATGGCACTATGACTTACTCTTTGAAACTTTTATTATTAATTTGGCTCAAGTATTCTGTAACTGGGACAGATTCTTTTGGAGACCCAGTTTATCTGAGTGTATTAATTCATTTGTTAATATATATAGTGCCAGATTTAGTCGAAGAGAGGCCGTAGCCTAATCTACTTGTTAGGCTCCACCCTCATGACTAAAGGAAGATGGAAGAGAGTTTTATACAAAATTAAGTAAAGACGAGGATGAAAGCGCATTAAAGAAAGGAAAATGACAGCGACAAAACTGTTATAGAGCAGGCCTACACCAAGTTCTTGTCCCCGTAAATTTTGAGGCCCGAGGTCTCACCCTGAAAAACCTGTATGTAAATCTAGTAGCACTGAATATATGTATCGTGCATCTAACGCGAAAATTAGAAACAATTTTGAAAATCAAACCTACACGTTCGTTGTACAAATAGTAGGTTTATGCGAAAAGCAACGGGATGAGGAAGGTACAAAATTGTTTTGTTAGTGCTGTTTAAAGTTGGTAATACTAACGAACTATACTTCAATCTGCAAGAACGTAGTCTGCTGTGACTGAGCATTCCTAATTAAAAAATAATTTGTCCACCACTTAGATTTGTAGAAATAGGTAATTTAAGCGATATTATTGGTATTTTGGGTTTAAAGGAGCTAAATCGCTAATATTCGGGACCTAGAAATTGACGCAAATGGGTCACAATGCATATAATAATGTAATATGAGTGTATATAATCTGATTTACATTCAATCGTTTCTGTTTTTACTCCAATTTCAAATCAATTAAGTTCGGCGAAATACGCCAAAAGTCTCAATCGAATGGCCATCTCTAGCGTCAGAATATGTGGTCACCGTTTGACATGACTTGTGGAATATGTCTAGCCTCGTTCTTCGAGTCCCTTGTTACAAATGGCGCTAAAACGCATACCAATGGTATTCGTAATAACAGAATACTGTGACGTCACGTGCATTTACCATACTATATCGGTCGGTAATTCTCAAACAGGGGTCCAAGGAGATTTACATAAATTGCCGCAAGGGATCGGCAAGTGCAAAAAGATTTGGAAACACTGCTATATATTATATTAATTATGTTGTTCTCCACTACTTCGCTGCTTTTTTTTTGTGAATTTCCCCTCTCAAAACGATCCTTGATGCTGGTACAATTACTTTTAAAGAAGCTGTACAATTAAATGAAATTGTGGACATGTGCTCATGGGTGGAAAGTACAGTGACGTACACTGCCAGCTTCCACCCTTCCCGTAGCACCAAATCACCTTTACTCGCTTTACGTGAACATCAACAACTTAGGATGAAAGAGGGTTTGTCTTAAAAACTATATCCACAATTAAAAAGTGCACGATTCTCATCTACATCTGTGTTTACTGACATGTTTTGTACGACTCGACCTATTCTTTAGTCTAATAAAACTCTAACTATAGATACGTTTTACATGGTATAATTTTTATGATTTATATATTAAAAT